AACTGCTTTAGAAAAAATTAAGTCATTGATAGTACGATCAACTAACACCATCCATATTGAATCGTCCTAGTTAATTTGAAATGTGACGTGCGCCGACGAAATATCCAAATAGTCGCTAAACATATCACCAAGGCTAGCTATGATCTGCTTCTTTAAGCTATCAAAATTCATCACTACCTAAAAAAAAAATATCATTTTAAAATATATGAATGAAACGCGATAAAGCGCCAAACTTTATACACCGTGGACATTAATTTAGTGATAACCTAAGAAAATATATGCTCTGCACAAACTATTTATGTACATCATTCACAATTTCTCATGTATGGATCCTTAAAATTTGCCCAATAACAATATTTATTAAATAGTAATCAAGAGAAAATGATACTATGGATACTCAAATAAATAAATCATTTACATTTTCTCATTAAAACAACAATGTACGTCTAAATAGTAAATACAACTTTAATAGTTTGTGCCCTTTCCATAATTTTTCTTTCATTCTATATTTCTATTCAAATTTCATTTTAGATGATCTTTCATCCATTAGCCCATATTGGGGGGCTAAATATTTGCCTTACCTACAAGAGGTATGATAGAGATCTTCATTCTACTTGGTACAAATCTTTCATTAGTTTGACAATTGATTGTTCAGGTTGGGATTTGTAGGGACATAGGGTGGTTATAATGTTAAATATGTAGAGTTTAATTATATTGTTTACTTTTTTTTATTCCATATTGAAGCAAAATTTTAATATTATGCTCTCATTTGGTAGCAACTTTTCAATTTCAAAAATTAATTTTTTGACCGTTATTTCACTATTCTAACCGTCTTTTTTTACTTCTTCACTCACATGTGGGACCCGCTTTTCTTTGTAACGGGTAAAAAATCAATTCTCATTATTACTACTTAACCGACCCCATAAAGGGTATATCGAGTAATTCATACAGGTATTTGTAGCCTATTTGGGAGGGATTTTTTGTCCCAAAAAATTAATTTTTTGACCGTTATTTCATTATTCTAGCCGTAATTTTTTACTTCTTCTTTCATAGGTGGATCCCACTTTTTTTCTAACGATCAAAAAATTAATTCTGAAAATCCCTTCCAAACGGGGCCTAGATCTTCATATTATTTTCTTAATATACAAAGTATAGTTGGAATATGTGGAAAGAAAATAGAAAGACGTGACACATTTTCTTTTTTGTTATAGCGAGCTTTTGTAGTGATAATAATTAATTAATGCGTGTTGTAATGGTTTGGACTTGAATCTGTGCCATATTTGGGGATTTGAACATATTGCAGCTTTGAAGATAATTTGTTACGCCCTTGTTTGAGCTCCATTATTGTCCAAAAATACATTTTTAAATAGTAATTAGCATATTGATGAAAAATATGTGATTAAAAATAAAAATAAAAAGTTTTGGATTTACGTGTAATATTATTTTAATAAATGATGTGTGGTTAAAATGATATCAAATCACTGTTAAAAATCCATTTTGATGAAAATAATGGGGCTCAAACAAGAGCTACATCTGCGACAACCTGATCTGTCACGTTAAATGAATTATGGCCTACCAGAGTTTGCCCAGATTTTCTCACATCTGAGCTAGGAATTACCAAAGGTCAATAAGGGAATAGCTATTCCGATAGGGCCAAATGATAGGCCATGTGAACAGGTGATCTGAATCTCATTTTTAAATGAGATTCCGATCAACCTCGGCACTATTGATTAGGGCCTGTCATTTGGCCCTGTCACTGTAGCATGCCTCCTTCAATAATGAGTATCGTACTAATGAAACGCTCATATAAGGGGTCCTAGGTTGTCATGGCTCCACCATTGTCGTCCTCAACAATCAGTCACAACCTTCAAAAGTTGCAATTACATGCATTTCGAGGCTAACACAATTTAACATAACATGATGAGTGCAGTTCTTCTCTAATCCTACGAGATAACTTTTTCAATGAAATATCCATTTGGGGGCTCCATGCATGATAAAATGCCAAAAAATATCACCCACCCACGCCACCGTGAGTTGTTTGAAAAAATTCTGTGACTTTCCTTTCTATAAGTGCAGTATGGTTCTTTTTTCAAATTTTTGTAAGACAAGCCTACACTAGAAACATAGATCTTAGTAGAGGTGACAAAAGGTTCAAGTAGCTCATTTGCTTAGCTTGTCGAAGCTTAACCCATGGAAACTCACGAATAGCTTGTGGACTCGTCAAAAAAGTGATCAAACATCGTTTGGTATCTCAAAATAAAATAAAATAAAATAACTCGAGTCTTGGGCTCAACTAGTGAACTCACGAGCTCGTGGGCTGAACTAAGCTTAGCCCGCTCGTGCTTAAATGAGCTTGAAATTGACGAGCCAAGTTTGTGGGTACATGGGTCTAGTTGACTCGACTCGGCTTATTGCCATCACTAAATCTTAGGCTATTATTACTCCGCTCCTTCAATAATAGTCGCTACACACTTTTTCGAGGCCAAAAAATTGTGACTTGACATGATCAAGAAGATTCTTCTCCAATCCATTCCTATAACCCACCGTTAGTTAATATCCAAACTCTGCTCCGACCATTCTAATTATAACACCGGAGTCCTGAGATTCTCAAGTCATTACTCCCCTGAAATATTTGACTACGCAATGAGTTTATGGTATTTTAGGTTGGAGATCGTCCAATCATCAAAAGGTGAGACATCAATTTTTGACATCAACATGACCCATTTAAGCCTCAAGTCATAGTAAAATAAGGATGTCAGTTTGGCTCATCGGTTTGAACCTCCCGTGGCTCGGCTCCAAAAAAGCTCGAGTCGACTCAGCTCGAGGCTTAGGTCGAGTCTCATTTTGAAGGCGTCGACCTAAGCCCAAGCCAGTCGGTGTGGTTCATTGGCTAGAGCCATTTTTGTCCCTTATCGAGCAAACCCCAAAAATTGAAAAAAATGAAAATGAAATGAAGCTACAAGCAGCTGTTACCTTTTGTGTGCAGCTAATTAGATGCCTGCATTTTATTAAAAAACACGAGTTGGCTCAACTCCACTCGGCCTCGCTCGATAAGGCCTGAGACGAAAGCTCGGGTTGATCCTAAATTTTTTGGCCAAACAAAAGGTTAGCTTAGCTGGAGCCAAAAAATGTTCGAATAATTTTTACTCGAGTCTAGTCCGAGCCTCAAGTTTTGACTCAAATCATTGACATCCCTAATGGTAATGGATTCACTTTTTTTAAATTAAAAATAATGCAATTTGCATTATATGAATTTTGTAGAACAAACTTTTAAAAAGTAAATTTAATCATCCCTCTAATAACTTGAATTTTAGATGATTTTACTTAATATTGATATATTAAGTTCCCATTTGATGATAAAAAAAAATAAAAAATAATGTTTTGAATATTGATTTTTTTAAGAATATATGGTTAAAAAGTAGAAATTTTTTTTTAGATTTACATGCAAAATTTTACCGTGTGAATGTATGATTAAAAATAAGTATGAGAATTAAAGAGTTTTGTTTTACAAAGAGAAAAACAGGAGCTAAAATTAACTAACTTACTAGGTTGATCTATCCTTACTAGTGTGGTGTTTCTTTCGGAGGCTCAACTAGCCTCGATAAACCACATCTAGTGATAGAACACTGGTTTAGGTAATGTTAAGTAGTAATTGCTTCAATGAAATGTAAAATTAAATGAATCTAATTATAACTTTTATTTAATATTATATTAATGTCACTTAAACTGATTTTTTTTATACAAATAATGTTAAATAACATTTCTGTTTATCCTCACTCACCAACCTATTGACCCACCTACCCAGGAGATAGTATTGCACAATCGGTCAATTATCAATTTATCTTCGCATGCGCACCATATTTCATGTTAGCGACACAATTAAGTGAAATCAAGTGATTAAATGCTAACACAATCATTAGTTAAAGTGTTATTAAAATCGATGGAACATATTCTTTTTGCTGAAAACGATACACAATCATTACGTGTTACTAGAATGAATGTCCCTTATTCATGTCAAAGACTCATGGGAAACAATTCTATTCCCAAAATAGAATAATGGCATGTATCACCAATGTTAGTCAAGCTGAGTTGAGATCTACTGTCTAAAATTTGTTGTTCATTCAATGAATGATTGACGTATTATTTTAAATTAATATATTCAATTTTTCTCTATCTTTCACTTGTGCTTAAAATTATGTGACACTTTAATGTAAAATGACGTATCAATCATTAATTAGTGAACAACAAATTGAACAGCAGATTTCAACTCTATTTAGTATATGATTACTCTTTAATTTTTCAATACTACTATTCATTTAGAGTTTAAGCCTTCTTAGTGCAGTTAAAAATCACATTTTTAGTAAATTTTGATAAAAGACGATAAAACGTGTAGTTAAAATTTTGAAAAAAAGAAGTTATGTGTTCTAAGAAATATGTGATTAAAATTAATTATTGATTTTGATTTTTATCAAAATTTTTAGTTACACCAAACAAGGGCTAAATAATAAAACGGTAAGGTTACTGTCACAAGATCGATAATCATATAAACTCTAGATGAATAATAATAATAATAGTAATTTAATACCACTATGTTGTGGTGCTAAACATGAATTGTGCTACGTATAACATTTGGCTAATATTTCGGTAACCTCTCTCTAAATCGCATTGAATCCTACTAATACATTGTTTAATTAATCAAAATGTCATCACGGGTATGTTTGAGCCCTTATTTTTTCGTAAAATAAATTTTGTAATAGTAATTTTTCGAAAAAGTATTGTTAAAAAGTAAAGAAAAAATTTAAATTTTCATATAAAGTTTTTTATTAATAGAATATATGATTGAAAATGAATTTAAGAAAAAATAATTTTTTTAAAGAAGAGGAGTCGAACTAGCTATGATTAGAATCATTAGATTCATTGCTTTTATACATATACGGAATAATTTGATAATTTGCGTGACTCCGCAAGCACTATGCGCCGTCGTTTAGATGCATGCACGACTACCCAATCACGTGTTTTTAATTGTAACTGCTGAATAGATGCTCTGCAATTTTTTCGCAGCTTTAGACTGATTTCCACCTGGCATAAATGTGAAAATATTTATGTGAAAAGAGGAAAAGCAGAAGCGTTTTCCCCCAAATTTTCTCTTCATGAACCTTCATTCCTTTCTGAATTATAATTCTGCAGTTTCGGAGTTCTCGGAATAATTTTCTACGAAACACTGATTAAAATGGAAAGATTATAGAAAAATCACTCTGATTTTATCATCTGCATGTAAGTTTATTCTGAATTTGAATATAGTTTCCCGCAGATTATTCTGATCTTGTTGGATTTCAGATTTATTCGAATTAAAAAATTCGCTGTTTGATTCCATGTTGAATGCTAGTATCTTCTTTTAGTCTGTGTTTAAATTTATCCACATGTCGTTGTCAACTTGGTAATCTTGGGATGCCTTGCCTCATTAATGAGGTGATATTTTTTCTTAGACATGATTATATAATTCTATTCAACAAATTAATGTCTTGAGGATCGTGAACAACCTATAATGATATCAACTCAGGGACTAGGAATAAAAAATAGAGGAATTGTTCGTTGACGACTCTTGAAATTGCCAAATTACCATCTGTTTTGGGGAACTCAATCTGAACTTCATGAATTTGTCTTACTTGGCACTGTTATAGCATATTCTTCCTTACGCTTTAACTATAAGCAAGTGAAATTAGTAATTGAAGCAATAGATGTACCAGCACATATATATATATACGGGAGTTGAGTTGAAGGTTGGATCAATAGTGCGTTTCTGTGGGAGAATAATTCAATTAGTTGTTGGTGATTGCAAAAGTGGCAAGTGCTTTCTTAAACTGGTATAGGAAGTTTGTATCTTAAGATCGTCTGAGGAAAAGTTGACGATGAAGAGATTTAATGAATAATAGACTATAACTTGATTTTCCATTAGCATTACGTCCACTTAAGGAGTACGTCACCATAGATAACTCTCTCTATCCCAAACTCCCTTCTCTTGCCAATCTATGTTTTATATAACATTGCTAAAATTATAATATTATAACGTATCATTATTCGATAAAGCTGTCTTTATGCTTTGGTCCTGTTGCTGCAGATATATACTTATTCCTGCCTCAATCACTAATTCAATGCTTAGGTGGGTGTGATTTATTGAAAGCCTCTATCCACGTTCTGCGCATATTGTTGAATCAGATTGCAACATGGGTTTCTTGAATCTTTTTGCTGTTTCATCAATGCCTGTCCTCAAAGTGCTTTTGGTGACTGGACTGGGATCATATCTTGCATTAGATCATGTCAATATTTTGGGAGGGAATGCAAGGAAGCATTTGAATAATGTAAGTGTCCATTGCATGCGTGGATGGTAGTTCTTTCTTTATTCTTCCAGTTTATGTTTCTTTGATTTTGTGGGAATTCTGATGCCGATATCAAAATGTAGAGGTATGTAACTTGAATCCTCATTACACGCTTGCTTAGATTAATCGATTGGACCAAAGAATACCATCGAGATCCTCATAATAACATTCTTTCTTCTGAATTCTGAAGCACTTAGCTAACTCCTTGTATGTCTAATTGTTCAGACTTTCTAGTTCTACCTTTATTTGTGTCCTCTCTTCTGTATTTATCATTGTCTTAATTCTTAAACAGAAATTGATTGCCACAGACAAATATTGTGCCATAAAAGAATGGAATTTTGCGCTTTTCTGGTTGTGTTGAGGTACATAAGCTGCCACTAGCTTTGCAACCAAAAACCTCTTATAATGTCAGCCACCCCCTAGCTAAGTCAGAATAAGATGGCCATTCTTTAATGAGATGCACAACTTTTCAATTAGCTTCCCGTTTTCAAAATCATTGCATGTTCAGCCTCCATTCTTGTTGAAGAATAGCTAGAATTATATGCACACGCACTGCAGTTGTATCACTGCACCTCTATTCTGAAGCTATTGGCGCTTGTGCTATTGAAAGCTACAAAATTTTATCTTAACTAGACCTCTAACTAGTTAAGGTGAAATTAAGCTTTCTGATTTGGCTACCTTATTCCCTGAAAAAACACTTATTTTGTTTTGCTTCTTATCCATAATTTAGGACACTGACTAATTTTGTCCTTACTGTGATTTTGCTTACCTAAAACCAAAGATTCTTCTTCTGATTGACAATATTTATCTGGATGCTTCTTAATATTTAATATTTATTTATATATTATTTGCTGGTTTACTATCTGTTACATATTACAATATAAGAAAACAGTCCTGAAGTGCTACTCTGGTTTTCCAACTAAATCTATTTCTCCAGTTTGTTCAGGAGAACTGTCTGACAGTCACTGTGAGACACAGACCAAAACTTGAAGTTCTTCTTCAAGTGGACTAATTGTCTACTGCTTAACTAACTGGATATTTGTAATGAACAGATTGTGTTCTTTGTATTCAATCCGGCACTTATCTCGAGCAATATAGCTAACTGTGAGACACAGACCAAAACTTGAAGTTCTTCTTCAAGTGGATTAATTGTCTACTGCTTAACTAACTGGATATTTGTAATGAACAGATTGTGTTCTTTGTATTCAATCCGGCACTTATCTCGAGCAATTTAGCTAAAACAATAACATACGAAAGCATGGTTCAGATGTAAACTTCTCTTCCTTGTTCTACGCGTAAAACATTTTTCCTTTTATTTATCCTCCCCCCTCTCTTAACATATAACTATGATTGTGACACTGGCCAAACTTGCAGGTGGTTCATGCCATTTAATATCCTTATAACATTCATCATTGGTTCAGCTCTTGGGTGGGGGGTCAGTCAAATTACAAGAGCTCCACCACATCTCCACGGACTTGTTATAGGTTGTTGTGCAGCAGGTATGTGTAATTAACAATAAACTCACAACAATAAAAATAGAAAGAGTAAAGAATATTGGTTTTTGCACAAGGTGGAGATGCACACCTGATAGAGAAGGTCAAGAGTTGAATTATTTTAGATTTCATGTATTGCTGGTTATCTTTGTTTCTGAGTACTCTATTTAATTTTTGCGGTAAGGTTGAATCTTTCTTGGTAGAACATATGGAAGAAAAGAGTGGAAATTGAGAGAACCACTTACTATGTGTTCAAAATTACAAACTGAATGCCATTAATGGACTTGTACTTCTCAAAGTTTGGTTTGTTAATCGGATGATTGAAGTTCTTCAAATATAATATATGATGTGAGGGCTAGACCAAAATGGGCTAATTTTGTTACCTTGTTAAATATTTTCCGTGTGAGAGATCTATGAACCTCGTGCATGCTTTTATTTTTTGTTCATTTCTACTTTTATACAATTTTAGTTTATTTTTTTCATCAGTCTTTCTGATTTAAGGTGGTGTTATAGCTAGGATTGTTGTGCTTCCATGAAGATAAGGAGAACTTAAATGTTGTTCTTTGGTGAAAGTAAATGGTTCAAAGGCTAAAATGTGGATACCACTTCTGGACATTAGAGATAAAGAGAGAGAGGGGAGGGGAAGGGAAGGGGGTTATGGTTACAATTTTTAATATTTTCAAACCATTCTTTAATTCTATCTTGGCCAACCCAACCCACCCCAACCCATCCAAAGACAAAGTATCTTCAGAGACAAATTCAATAACGAAAAGAGGAGCAAAAAAAAGGGAGAAAATTTAAGGAAAAAAATCATAGATTTATTTAGCAAATATTGCATGGATTCATCCTGATATATTATCTGATTTGTGTTAACAGGCAACTTGGGCAACATGCTTCTCATCATAATCCCAGCGGTCTGTAGAGAGAGAGGAAGTCCATTTGGAGATCCTGATGTTTGTTCAGAATATGGAATGGGTTATGCTTCTCTGTCAATGGCAGTAAGTTTTAAAATGATTTAATCCTTTCATTGTTAATTGCTGATTGTTGTGAAATCATATATGACATTTCTTATGCGAGCTCGTGTGTGAATAAGCATGTGTAAATAAGCACATATTATATAATCATGGATATGAATTATTCTCTCAGCATTTGGCGTTAAATCCAATATAATGGAAAGGGGGAACTGAAGGTGGATACTAAGTTAACTAGGAAGAGATGTTGCCTTATGTATATATTTGATTTGTTTGAATCAATTTAGATTAACTGTTACTATTTCTACTACTTTCTGATTGACCGGATCCTAAAATTTCATCTCATGTTGCTTGTTATGGTGTTTCAGATAGGAGCAATTTATCTATGGTCCTATGTATATAATATTATAAGGATATCTTCAAGTAGGAACTCGGAGGAAGTTGAAATAAATGACTTATCAATCACGAAGTCTTCAACAGAAAGTTCTATGACTCCATCTGGCAGCAGTTCCAAAGAAGTGACAGAACCATTACTTTCTTCAAATCAGTTGGCACTTCCACAAACTAGATTTGAGGAGAAGCCTCAGGTTGTTATCTTCTTTACTGCTTAGATCTTTAAAAACTGCATATCAAGCACATCTTAAAGTTATGATGTTTAGCTTCCATCATGAACTCACTTTGTTCCGGGCGGAATTTTAGATCTTTTTAGTATCCTCGAAATTGAGAACACATTTATGAGCTTATAGTGGGGATAGCATTTCTCTTCTGCATGTCCATGGAGTTTTGAAAAATCCAAACATCTCAGAGCCGTATGAGGTGAAAATCTCATGTACGGTTTTGTAGAGTGACAATAAAGGTTCCCTAACTGAGGTCAGGCAGACACGGCTAAGTCAAAAAAATCCTAACTGCTAAAGTCAAACTGATAGTAGTAGCACATCCATACTCTCCCAAAAAAAAAAAAAAAAAAAAGCAAAAAAAAAAAAATACCACCAAATCAACATCACCATCACCATCAACATCACTGCCCCGACACAACACCGCCAACAAAAACAACAAAACGATGTAGTGTCTTAAGACATGCTCACGTGCCTCTTCAATCGATGCTGCACTGTCGAGTGATGTAGAAGGCACATGAACTAAGCTTATATGGAAAGGGATAAAGGAGTGCCAGCGACGGTGGCTTCTTTCAGGAAATTTCACATCGATCGTGTCGTCGTGCAATAGTAATAAAAGGTCCTACCCAGTTTCTTACATTTTTATCACTTCGATACGTCTTTTTTGAAAATCTACAGAAGTAAACAAAAGGCATGCAGAAGAAGAGGTGAAGCAATCTGTTGCTCCTTAGAAGTCCATTGGCATTCCTTGAATCAAAACAGAAATCAGAGTTCTATCATTGCATTTATTTACGTCAACACTCGTAATATCCAAATATATAATAGACAGTAGTGTCAGATTTACTTTTATGGGTTTCTCACTTCCTAGATAATAGTAAGCATCATTGATGTCACTTGTGGGTACTATCAGGTACCAAGAAATATTGCTAAATGAATAACAATTGAAAATTCTGAATTTCCTTGATAAATTATCTCCCACTGAATGTTGATATCTAATTTTCTTGTCATCAATTTATAAGTAGAGAATAATTTATTGCTATTGGAAGACAATTTCATCAGTTATAGAGAATCTTAACAGTCTGGGTAGTGTTTACATCGATTACATATCGTAACCAATTTTCTCAATGCAACAATTATATTCTGTTTCTAGCATGATAATTTGTCAGGAGAATGGGGATAAAGGTATAATGAGTGGAGCCAACCATGCTAGTAGGATTAATGCTTTATTTCAATTTATCTTCAAGAAGAGATTACAAATTTTGCATGATATTTTTCATTTTTCTTTATTCTAATGTTCTACATTTCATCCTGCCGATATGAAATTTTTGTGCACTATGTTTTTTGTAATTCATTCTAGAACTCTTCTTTTCACCCCTTTCCAGTAACAGAAATGAAACAAGTTACTTTCCTTTTTACTTAATGGAAAACTAAGTGAAACAAGGATTTTAACCTCTGTAAGTCCTGCTACAGGTGTCTTTCTTGGATAAGATAAAGCAATATTTTGAGATGCTCTTACAAAAGATGAACTTGAAGAGGTTATTTGCACCATCAACCATTGGAGCGGTATGGTATCGCTGCTTAATTTCACATATAATGCATGCATATATAACCTCTTCTTGTGGCAAGTGGTGCTTTAAGACTTGCTTTCCAGTTAGCTTGTGCTATGCAGATACATGAAAATTTTAAACAATCAAAACCTGACTTGTTCATCTGTGATACCTATTATACCTCTTTAATATGGGAGGATGACTATAATAACTAGGAAAAAAGATCCTTGGAGAAAGTTGATCAAAACGATCTTTAATTATCTGCAACTCTTTCAAGGTTCTAACACATGCATGCATAGATACATACATTTGCTAGGACTCTTCAAAATATAGTTTGTTGCACTGCTTACCCTCATATACAACGTGAACAACCTAGTGCACTAATTGAGCACTGACATTTTTAACCATTCGTCTGAGATAATTAGACATTAGATCAACGGTAGATGCAACCATACGAGACTATATCTCATGAAAACTCATTTGTCAGCTAAAAGAATGATGTGACTTTGCACTACACTGGGATAGTCTGATGAATTACCTATTGTATATATGCAAGAGAATATACATGTTTATGTATCTCATTGGTGGATTTGCTAATGAATATTGAACAAAAACACTGACCAATTGCTCAGTCTTCTACAGATTGCTGGTTTTGTAGTTGGACTCTTACCTCAAATTCGAAGGTTGTTGATTGGTGACACAGCTCCTGTCCATGTTATCCAAGATACGGCACTTCTTCTTGGGTATGAAATCTATCTTATTTAATTCTCTGAACTCTGCATTTCTGCAGTACAGCATGTGTAAAAGGGCATGCATGCATTTGGTTGTGTGAAACTTGTAATGCAATTATGGAAACACTATTAGCAGATGACGTCGGTCAGGATAACGATTATCCTACAGGCTTGTTGCAACAAACGATTCACAGAAAAAGTAAACGAAAGAATAACATCAAAACATAGAGAAACTTCTCTGAAATTCACTCAATGTTATTAAAACTCCAGAATTACGAAAATTAACCTACAAGCCAGGTTAAATAGTTAAGAAAATACAAAATTATGAAAATTTTACCAAAAATAGCAAAATCTCGAAAATCACACCAAAATAAAATACGGAATAAAAGAAGTAACTTGCCAAAAATTTAGCTCAAATCGGATTCGTAATCAACTAGAAAAAGAAACAAAATATTACCATAAATTGAAAAAAATAACTAAAAATTGATATTTGAAGGGGAAAACAAAGGATTTTGGCCTTGAAATTGATGCCCACCACGCATAGCTAGTGACCACGACGTGTGCGCCAAAAAGAGCTTTCCTGATTTGGGTCATAATTGCGATTCTGATAACCGTAGTCAAAGTTATGGTCAAATTACCAAAAACGCGTCAAAATTGCCCCAATTAAGGAAAGTATTGCAATCACTTTTCATCTTTGCGCTGATCCAACATCTTATGGTATCTGAACACCATCAATGTGCTCTGACATCTCGACCTCACTTGATTCGGAACCTCCTGCATCAGCAAATTACATACTGACAGAGTTGTGATCAACTGAATAATTTGAAGGGATTTATTTGGGCATATCAAGCCAATAGTTAAACTATTGGCATGGATAAGATGAAGAATTGAGTGGATCATTGACTAGCTTGATGTATCAAATTAAAGCAAATGCTTATTCTTTGTTCTCTGGAGAAACATAAGTCAACAAATATGAATTTGCCTATTTATGATGGACCAAAGAGTAGAACTTGAATTCCTTCATGCTGATATATAAATCTTGAGCGAATGTTTGGTATGATATAAATCCGCTAAATTATCTGCCAGGCAGAAGATCATGAAATTGCACAGAAGTCACAGAAAAGTATAATCTAAATACACTGGTTATGATCCTAAAATTAATGCAACAAACTGACTACACTTTAAGCTTCTTAAAAAAAAAAAAGTGGATGGAAATCAGCAAGTCTTTTTTTTCTTAAATTTGTGAGTTCAGGGCGTATCAGTATCAGAATCAGCATCAATGTCAACTCTTTCCATTTTCAATTTTCGTAAACAGATAAAGATTATTTTGCTCTTTGCATTGCTACCATACATTGAAACTGGGCATCTAATCATAAATTCATAATTAAAGAAGGTTTTGTCATTTTTCTTCTTGAATGCTCAACTGCATTATAATTCATGAAGGTTCTCAGACTTGTCGTCCAATAATACAGGGATGGAGCTATTCCAGCTGTCACGCTGATATTGGGAGGAAACCTTTTAAGGGGTAGGTGTTAAATTCAGTTTCTAAACATGGCTATATTTGATTTTATCTGTCAGTGACCTTTTGGAAAGAAACTACCTCTTATTATCACTGTATTTTCTTCCAGGCTTAAAGGGTTCTGGGATTCAGAAGTCTGTTATTCTAGGCATAATAATTGTTCGATACGTAGCCCTGCCTCTGCTAGGCATCGTTGTTGTTAAAGGGGCAATTCGCTTTGGTTTGGTGCATCAGAATCCATTATATGAATTTGTTCTTTTGCTTCAGTTCGCACTTCCACCAGCAATGAACATAGGTTTGTTAAAGCTTCAACCTTTCCTTTTTTGTTCTAGTTTTCCCATTTCTCCAATGAGCACGTCACATGTATATGAGAGTAGATACGTAGAAGAGAGAGATGATTATACAGAGTTTTTGCCTTATGAATAAGTTCTTGATTCTTTGATGTAGGTACTATGTCTCAGTTATTTGGTGCTGGAGAGAGTGAATGCTCAGTTATTATGCTGTGGTGTTATGTCTTGGCTTCGTTAACACTCACTCTGTGGTCAACGTTGTTCCTGTGGCTCGTAGCCTGAATAGAATATACATTTCATTTCCCATTATACTTACATTTACCGGTATTAGACTCCACAGTTTTGTGATATTAGGCCATCCATTGGTTGAAGTTTCTGGTAAGGATGATGTAAATGAACAAATGGGATTGGGATCAAGAAAGAAGAAGGGTTACAGAACATTCGAGGGAGGGGAAAAATCTTCCAACCTTCGAAAAATTCACGAGCACTTAAATCCCTACATTTTTCTCTAAAAGCTGTATTTCCTTGTCAATGTTATTTGATTTTTGAAACTCCATGAAGTAGAAAATACAAATTGGAAGCTCCAAAGATTGCCAATGACTTTCTTTCAAAAGTTGAGTTGTTTTAACTGCATTTACTTACCTAGTCTTACGCTTCTTGTACAGTTGATGAGAAGGTCTTGATAGTTTTTCGACATCACCACCAGCATATATATATATATATATGCAAAAATTTCTGAGTGTGAAGTCTACATGGATCCCTGCTATTCTACCTCTTGCATTCTCAGTAACCCCATAGATAAAGCCAATCAAACAGAAACTATGTCCAAAATATTCGCTGAAGTTCTCATATTAATCACAATTCAATTTAAGCTTCTTTTTCAAGTGCATGGGTATTGAGAAATAAGGTACGTTGACATAGCCATGCAAGCCAGCAAATGAACTGCCATCAGAAAAAGAATGTTTACACATAGATTGCAAACTGGCCTTTTCCATCTTCCAAATGCTTTCCGGGCCTGCCAGACTTTTCATTACCCAACAAATTCCACGAACATATGGTAAGAGACCGTGCTGAACTAGTGTTCGAAAGAGTCTTTACAACAAATAGAAAACCCTCAGCATGACACCCTACCAAAATGAAAGACTGAAGAACCAAAATTTCGAAATGCACCCATATTCAAGTATATCACTTCACTGTCAATGGTGTATTGAAGATTCAATATCGCCTTCTCTTTTAAGACTTAGGATTACCTTAAAAGGTCAACATAATTAAGAGAAGTATCCCAAACCTTTATATGTTAGTCTATATTTTCATTTTTATTCAATGAAAAATTTTACCCCTTAACACCCCCTCACAAGATGGTGGCTCATGTGCTCATTTTTTTAATCTTAATCGGATCGAATTGATCGTTTAAGCTTACCATATTAGGGCTTAGAATTTTATTTTAAATCGTCAATCTTATTAAAAGTAGTCGAATCCTTTATGAGTTGATATATATTTTCATCTTTATTCGATGTGCGATTTTATCACTTAACATTCTTAACATCCAATAATTGATAAATGATACTACAATATTATTCATAAGCATAGATTTGAACTCAAGTACTAAACCACTGCGAAATGAGGATGTTCCTTGAAGAGTACATTCTTTCTATCCCCAAACTGGCAAACATACAGTTACATCTGGTTTTAAGGCAAAAACATCTCCCTCCTGGCAGTCAACAGCAGGCCAAAATACTTCTTCTAGTGCAAGTATGCAAAGGAATACTATGGCTTCAGCCAATTCAATTCAAGTCTCCAGGTTGACCCTCACTCTTTGCACCTTCGCTGATATTTTTAACTTCTGCTCTTCCATCTCTCTCAAAAGAAGCAGCAGCTTTTGCTCGGTATGCTTCACATATTTGACTTGAATTTTCCAATTCAGCTGTTAATTTCTGAATTTTCTTTTCTTTATTCTGAAAAAAGAAAAGAGAGATTTTAGTCAAAATTTAGATATAATTTGGAGACTAGAATTATGAATGAACTGAACTAGATATAAAGCCCTTGTTTGACAACCATTATTTTAAAACTTTTTAATTCTCATACTAATTATCAATCACACATTTACACAATAAAATATTTTGCATCTGAATCCATAACTTTTCCCTATTTTTTAACCACACATTCTCCAAAAATTCACTATTCAAAACTCCATTTTCTCAAAATAATGGTCATCAAACAAGGGCAAAGTGGTGTCATAGAACACTTGCACATACATGAACGCAATAATTGCTTCTAGAGCTTGTTATCTAATTACAGAATATTTATATATTAATGCCATCATATCCTATTGGGACAATACTCTGAATGGAAATATGTTGGAGACAACTTATAAAAAAGGTTATGTAAGGGTTTGTTTTTGATATATTTGTTTGACCAGCTTTAACCCGCAAAGCGTGATCAAAACACAATTTATATGAATGAAAATTTGGACAGTTTCGATATAAAGATTACGCAAAACAAGGATTAAGAATGAGTAGAAATGGAGAATAATCCAAGGCGAGACGTTATCTCTTTCCTTAAGACAAATTACCCCGCTACGGTGTTCACGGTGAATGGCACTTGTCTCCCAAAATACAATGGATTCACAACTTGTGATAGCAGCACTTCAAACCACAAGAAATCGACGAACTTTTGACAGAATTTTCCCTCTACAAAGAAAATGTATGAAATGCTATAGAATTAGAAAGAAGAGAATTGCAAGAGGAGAATGAATGCTCAATGCAATTGGTGTACCCAAAACCATGTCCATAGGGTTCTATTTATAGATGTAGAAAGGGTGCAAATGAAGTAGTGTGGGCCAAAACATGCATCCTTTCAAAAGAAGTTGCAACACTTGGCCAAAACCTGCACCTTTCGAAAAGTTGCAACACTTCATTTCTTCCAACTTTGGTCCGCAATTTCTCATTCATCCGAAATTGGTTTCGAGATTCCAAATATACCACGACGATCTACTTGACAAGTAGAATAAGCTGGTCTGTTTACTTTTGTAATTTGACCATCGGATCAAGTCCGAATATTTGGTCGAAGTTGACACGTAGTCACACTTTTTCATTTTCCAATTTTTACATACCTTTTCATTTAATATTTGAACCAATTCCTACAATCCCCAACATGAATCGAAATTCGGGTACGTATATGCAAATGCGATGATATGATGCAATGTAGAGAGGGTGCAAAAAAATACTGCATCAGGGATGGTGGCTTCTGGCCTTGAACCTCCCTTAGTGAAATACTATCGGCCTTACTCGGCTAATTGGTAAACCATAGGACTTGAACCACTCAACCTTTGGTGTAAGTCAAGACAAAAGTACTCACACAGATATCTTACCTATTCTGTACTTAGTTCTCATGACTTGGTTCATTTTGGCCCTGAACCCTTCTTGGTTTCAGAAGTGTTTAAAGAATTCAAACTTTAAACAATTCTTATCGAAGCAGCCCCACTTCACACTTACATAGGTGACCTCCTATTAAGAGTATTCTGCCCTACGCCACTTGATTTAATCAAGATATAGGAATCATTAAAAGATAATATTAGCCTCTATTTACTCTGCAAAAAGCACTTTTTATCATAGGAATGAGTTAGGAATTCTAATTTCCTAAGTGCTCATGGAATTTTCACAACTTAGTTGTCCCTTTGAACCAAGATCTTGGGATCTCCAGTTAATAAGGAAGGGTTACCATTGCAAAAACTCTCACGTAGTAGGCTTTAATCCCATTCCTCTCGATAGCCAACACATTTGATCTCTAGGCAAACTTTTCGTCAGTGGATCCGCCATATTCTCCTTTAATTTCATATAATCTATGGAGATAACGTCATTTGAGATCAGTTGCTTAATGGTGTTGTGTCTACGACGAATATGTCTAGACTTACCATTATACATGCTGCGTTGAGCCCTTCCAATTGCTGATTGACGATCACAATGTATACTTATCGCAGGTACTGGCTTGGGCCAACATGGAACATCTTCTAAGAAATTTCGAAGCCATTCTGCTTCTTCTCCAGCTTTGTCCAAAGCAATAAACTCAGATTTCATCGTTGATCGAGCTATGCACGTTTCCTTTATTGATTTTCATGATACAGCAGCTCCACCAATGGTGAATACATAACCACTAGTAGACTTGGAATCCTTCATATCGGATATCCAATTCGCATCACAATATCCTTCTAGTACCATAGGATATTTTGTGAAGTGTAATCTATAGGTTAAGGTATACTTCAAGTGCCTTAAAACCCTCGTCAAAGCCTTCCAATGATCACAGTTTGAATTACTTGTAAATCTACTAAGTTTATTCACCGCAAAAGCAATATTCAGTCGAGTGCAGTTTGTAATATACATAAGACTGCCAATTATTTGTGACTATCTTAATTGTGATATCCTTTCACCCGTATTCTTGACTAAGTGCATACTCGGATCAAGAAGATTTTTCGCAGGACTTTCCTCAAACACGTCAAACTTTTTAAGTACTTTTTCTATATAGTGAGATTGTGAAAGTACAATTTCACCCTGCGTTCTAGATATTTTAATCCCTAAGATTACATCTGCTACACCCATATCTTTCATATCGAAATGCTTTGTTAGCATCTTTTTGGTGTTAAGCAACATTTCGTGACTATTGCCCATTATTAACATGTCGTCCACATATAGACAAACAATTATATAGGCATATGGTGTATGTTTAATATATACACATTTATCACATTCGTTGATCTTGAATCCATTTGACAACATTATTTTGTCAAACTTTTGGTGCCATTGTTTAGGAGCATGTTTTAATCCATACAAGAACTTGACAAGTTTACACACTTTGTGTTTTTGGTTAGGAGAAACGAACCCTTCAGGTTGCTCCATGTAAATCTCCTCTTCTAACTCACCGTTTAGGAATGCTGTTTTTACATCCATTTGATGAATCTCAAGATTCTGTATTGTCGCAATTGCAATTAACAACCTTATCGACGTGATTCTAGTCACGGGTGAATAGGTATCAAAGAAATCAAGTCCTTCATTTTGCCTATATCCTTTAGCAACAAATCTAGCCTTATATTTATCAATGTATCCGTCAGTTTTCAATTTCTTTTTGAATATCCATTTGCATTCTAAAGGCTTGTTACCGGGAGGTAAATCAACCAACTCCCATGTATGATTTTGTATTATAGAATCTATCTCATTATTAATAACTTCTTTTCAATACGGTGCTTTCAGCGTAGACATTGCTTCATCGAAAATCTTTGGATCATCCTCTACCATATAGGTTAGAAAATTTGGGCCAAATGTCTTGGAAGTCCTAGCCCTTTTACTACGTTTTGGTTCTTCCTCATTTGAAGTTCCATTGGTAGTTTTATATGTTCTCTTGTTAGAACTCGTATTTCCCTAATCTTTGCAAGGAAAAATATTTTCAAAGAACGTCGCATTCCTTGATTCAATTATGGTCCCTTCGTGTACGTCTTATATTTCGAATTTGTGTACAAGAAATCGATATGCACTACTATTATTGGTGTATCCAATAAATATGCAATCTATCGTTTTAGGACCGATTTTCACTTGTTCAGGCTTAGGTACCTCAACCTTAGCC